GCTCATTTTGTGTGGAAACTTATTGTGGCCAAAATAAAAATATAACTTTATGTAATTTGTAAAAAAATGTAACTTCAGCAATTAGAGCATCTAGAATTCATAAATATAATTTTCATTGCAGTTTGTTCTTCAGTGTGGCATAAACACTGCTTTGACAGACTTCTGAAGCAATCACCACCAGTAAGCAGATTCCACAGTTGTAATTGCCTTTATAGTCAAAATTATTTCTTAGACCTTTTGTTAATCTTTTTGTTTTTGTAATGCTAGGAGGAACAGAGTTCCAGTGCAACTGAAGATGAACTTTTTTCAGAAGACGAATACATACCAGATAGTCAGTCTAGCTCAAGCAGCGAATTAGACACGACCTGTGTTAATGCTAATTCCAAAAAACAAAAAACTGCTGAAAATGTAAATATTGCTCAACAATCAAGTTCAACAACTAGTTTTGACACTGCAAACAATATAAGTGACCTTTTAAGTGCCAAGAAAAACTACTGTTACGTGTGTGGCAAACCTCAGTCCAAGATTGCCAGACACTTTCAAAACCATAAAGATGAAGCTGAAATTGCACAAGTGCTTTCATTACCTAAGCGTTCAAAAGAACGTAAAATACTGTTGGAGAAGCTAAGAAATAAAGGTAACTACCAACACAATTCAGAAGTCCTTAGAAGTGGAGCTGGGCATCTTAAAGTCAAAAGAAGAACAAAAGTTGAACATGACTTCCCAAAGTTTATTCATTGCCTTTATTGCAAAGGAATGTTTTTACGCAGAGAACTCTGGAGGCATATTCGTAGATGCCCCTCAAATCCTGGAACAGTGAGTGAAGAGCCAGGAAGAACCAATGTATTAGGCTTGGCCACACTTGCTGAATCAACATGTTCACAGCAAATATCGGCAGGAGTTTGGAAAATTTTAAGTAACATGAAGCAAGATGCTGTAGCATCTATTGTACGAAATGACTCTTGCATTATTCAGCTTGCACAGTCCTTTTATAATAAACATGGACACGACACCACCAAATACGAGTACATCCGGCAAAAGCTTCGGGAATTTGGCAGGTTTTTGTTAGTTTTGCGAAATGAATTTTCTATCTACAGCATTGAAGAGGCTATTAAACCTGTTCATTTTCATAAAATTATTCAAGCAGTCAAAAAGGTGTCAGGTTATGATGAGGAGAAGTGCTTCTACAGTACCACAAGTCTTGCTTTAAAATTAGGGCATTCCTTACAGAAAGTGTGTGACATCCTTCACTGTAGGGCCCTTATGGCAGGAGACGGTGAGCTAAGCCAGGCAACTGAAATTTTCAAAAAACTGTACACTTCTAAGTGGGCTGAGTTAGTTTCGCACGCTGCCCTGACCACTCTGAGTGATGCAAAGTACAACAAACCATCCACTCTGCCATTTACCCATGATGTGCAGCTTCTCCACAGGCACCTTGAGAAGTCAGCAGAAAGTGCCATGGAAGAATTGAAGAAGGTGGCTAGCCCACAAACCTATAGTGAAGTTGCAAAAGCTACATTGGCACAAGTAATTGTGTTCAACAGAAGGCGTGCTGGTGAGGTATCCAAAATGAAACTTCAAAGTTTCTATGAGAGAGACCAAACCACCCTTCATGAAGATGTAGCTGAAGGTCTCTCACGTTTTGAACAAAAGCTCTGCAAGCATTTCAGCAGAATAGAGATCATGGGAAAAAGAGGAAGGAAGGTTGCAGTCCTTCTCACTCCGGCTATGGTGGATGCTTTACTCCTAATAGTTAGCAAAAGAGAAGAATGTGGTGTTGGCATTGCTAATATGTTCTTGTTTGCCAGGCCAAAATGTATGAGTCACTATAGGGGGCAGGACTGCTTGAGAACCTATGCGGTTCAATGTGGAGCCAAAAACCCTGAATACCTCAGGTCAACATATCTTCGAAAACATGTGGCCACATTATCTCAAATTTTAAATCTAAAAGACAACGAAATTGATCAGTTGGCAGATTTCTTGGGACATGACATCCTTGTTCACCGTGACTTCTATCGATTGCCAGAAGCAACCACTCAACTGGCAAAAATTTCAAAATTGCTTCTTGCCATGGAAAAAGGATGCTTTACAGATCTAAAAGGAAAATCATTGGATGAAATAGAAATTGAAGGTATTTGCTGGTTTGTGAATTGTGTAGTTTATATCTCTGAAAAATATATACAAAAAACCAAAAAAAAACACAGGATTACATTTTGCAGATGAACTGATAGTCAGTGGATCAGAGAAGACCGATGAAGACAGTGATTTGGAAGTGAATGAGTCAGGATATACCCCTTCGTCTGCAAACAGATCTGTGGATTCTTTCCCATTACAGAAAGGTATTTGCATTCTGACAACTTCCTTTCATTGTGTAATAAAGCATCAACCACAGGTAGAGCAGCTGTGCAAAAGCAATTTTACATTGATGATAAAAAAACCACAGCATCATGACATATGACAATCATTATTTATTGTACTTATATATTTTGGAAACCAGTTTCCTTGTGTGCCTTTCTAGCTGTACTTGCTTGTGCCATGCTGGGAAAGGCACTGTCTCCTTGTCACCCAGTCTTGTGGAGTCATTCCTCAGTCATGCCTTGATTTTGTGAATCTTCTCTGAGAACTCTATTTGCTTGTCAGGGCACTGATGCATTCTCAGGCATTTTTGAAATGAGCTCATGAACATTGTGAGCCCATGAAAGTTTTTATTGTGATGCAGGTCTTTAACTAACACAATTGACTACTGACCCTTAAATACATTGAAAGTCACATTGCATAACTATGCTTACCCAGTATGAAATAATATTTAGACAATCTGCTGAATCTTTTGTATCCTATTAAAAATCAGGAAAGGTTTTCTTCGCCACAATGAAAGGACCATTAAATTGATATTATTACATATATTATTTTACTTATTTCCTCTTGTTTTATTAGCATTTGCTGAATCAGTGTAATGGATGCACTATACTTGTATGAGAAGTACAATTATCTCATGCTCCTAGGATTTTGTCCATTGTCTTTTCAAACCAGTTATCAGTTTAATGAGGTTTCTGTTAACCAAGTTTTATTTCTCTTTATTAGAAAGTACATCATCTGTGGCTATGGAAGAAGTGTCTGAAAGCTCTTATGGTAAATTATAGGGGATGAAAATTTACAGTTTAGGGGTGAATATTTGTGCAGTAAAGACTTCATGTTTTTCAATTGTAAATTTTAAAAAGTGTTACTATATATG